ATGAGCCATGAAATACGACGATGGGCTTCGTTGCGCATCACTCGCATCAGGATCAACGAATCGACGAACTATTATAGGGTTGCAAAAGTCAGCGACTAGACGATATAACAAGCATGAGCATGAAGCAAGCAGTACTGCCGAACACAGATATATATATGGAAACATGAACAGAAACCGACCTGATTCGCATGAGGCGCTGCAACTAGGATCAACGGACCCCTCCGAGGAATCTTCCAAGAACCGCGAGGATGAACTTCCCGGAAGAACAGGTCAATCAGCACCGAGAATGACCATAAGACCAAATCATAGAGCCACCCAATTAGGGGGGGAATATGTGGTTGTTTCGTCCCCATGACGCCGTAGAATAGATCTGAATCCCTTGAGCCGATCGTCCCTATTTGCACCTAGCTGCGGAGATGGCTCAAGGCCAATAGGAAACAATGGAAACCTTTGATGGATCAGTCTGTCGAGATTGTGAGTCTCTTCCCAGTCGCCGTCTTATCTCGAAACGATGAAGCCGGAAGCACGCGTCGATGCGCTTATACCAGACATGGGCCTTCAAACCCGAACCACTTGATCGTACTTATCACAGGCAATACCTGGGATTTGGGTATAAGAGCTGTGAAGTCTTACTCTCTTTGGTCAAGGTCCCGAAATCAGAGGCCTAGAAAAAGTGCACAAGTAGTTATGTAGAGAGCAAAGTCGAGCCATGTGACACTGCTTGGCTTAAATAATAATGTCATAGAGCAGGATACCTAAGGTAATCTTTTTACCTTACTAGTGGGGGGAAGCGCAGGAGGTCCCAAAAACCTGCCGTTGGTGCACGGACTGCACGCCGGATTGGTCGAAAATACAGCGACGCTTCTAGAACTGCGACTACACAGTCACCTCTTAACTAGCTACAGGGTGCTATCTATCTGCTACTATCTCAGGAGACAGTAGTCTCATTCTAGCTGCATCGCCGTTGCACTATTCGGAAAGCAGATTTTCGTTCAGCCGAGTTTCTTTCCTATCGTCCGTTACACGACGTCTTCGCGGGCCTGAGTTCCATCGAGGAATCGGCCAACTACTTTATCAACCAGAATCATCAGGGTCATCCAATAGTTGATAGTACTGATGACATACCACTTTGCCTTTTCGAGTAGCACGGCTGTCTCCCGACCTAGAGCTTCCAGCAAGTTCCCATGGGTTTGATGATCTGATCCTAAACTCAATTCTGCGGGGACTTCCGGCAATGCCAACTGTGTCTCAGAGCTCGAATCTTCGATAGATATGGGCTGTGTCTAGACTCCAGATCCTTGGGTGTTTCGGTTCCCAACCAATTGTTAATCGGCGTGGATTGGTCATTTTACAATCTCCTCAGACAGCTAGCTGCAGATCAGTATGGCCTGGAGAGTATCTGAGAAGTCAACTGGAGAGATCGGTACGTTACTTGCCATTCTTCTCAAACACCTTATGACTTTATATGCTCGGAGGTCTCTTGGGCAAAGGCATGGCAAATCTAATTGCCGCTCATTCAATTTTCTGAACTGCAGCTACACAGTCTGAGGCGCCGCTTGCTTGCTCCAAGATGCAAGTTGCTGATAGCACTGCAACCTTTTTGGTGGAGGAATATACATCGGTCTGGTCATCCACTTGGAGTACATTGATGTTGTCATTATAACCATCTCAGCATGCAGGAAGCACTGTCGCCGGTGTCATAGGCGCTGCAGAAAACCCACCAAGGACTCCTGCTTAGAATGGCATCTTCAGCTATATGGTGGACTAAGTCTCCTAATCCAACACCTGGGTTCGTGACCGGTGTCAGTGCTGTCTCACCCCTCTGAGCCAAAGACTTCAAAGGGAAATCCGATTATGCATTACATGAGCACTGTATAGCTGTAACTCAGGGTTCACTGAATGTCGTTATTTCCCTACCGATGCTTACCTACAGCTGGGCTGCGAGGATTGCGTCCGCTTGGTAGACACTACTCCTAGACGTATGTGCCGGCAGCTTCAGTCCTGTTCCTGTTCCGATCAGCATCACAGCCCGGCCTGACATAGCCACGTGCCGCGCTGCGATTGATCCTCTTTACAAACTCTAGCCACGAAGAGAAGCATTTTGGGGGATATTGGGCAGGCTGCAAAGGCAGTTTTTAGACTCAAAGTCCAATGGATCGCGTGTTGATAGAGGGAGATCCCCTTCCTCAGGAAACCGGGCAAACAGTACACCGACTCTCTTCCGGACACGGGAGGTGTGCTCTTATACTGGGTGATTGCAGTGAAAGTATGCAGTAGCTGTGTTGTTGAGCAATTATTCTATGTTCAGTATATCATGATAGCGGAGAAAAACACCATCTGCCTTTAAGATAGCATAATGGGTCTTCCACAGGTTTAGAGGGGAATGGCGCAGTACCTTAACATGTTTCACGCAGTGACGCAAGCACTCGTATGTCAAAAGGCAACTTGCGCAAAGCTGATGAATAGGTGTTGATCAGACTGGGATAGTGAGAAATCAAGGAGAAACCCGTGAGGACTGCATAGTTTTGGACCGAACAATAAATAAGGTAGTGTTGGGAATGCGCTCCTCAAACGGCTTGCGTCGGGAATCCCGGTGGACACCGCAAGAAAGTTCTCGCTGCAGCCTCCATCATTGTTTCAGTGTTTGTCATCCCGATGAGGCACCTAAGTTCTAACCGTCCATATGAGGCTAAATTAGGGACAAAGACTCAAGGCAAAGGCTATCGAATTCCTACTCTATCTTGTCTGTTCATGATCATCTAATCCATATCATCCGTCATCTTTTAGAATCAATTTCGGTGTCTTCAATCTCCCCGCCTCAGAGGGCTGCCCCACGCTACGGAGTACACAGTGAGTATATAGTGCGGATCGTCGAGAATATCACGCAGCTACGAGTCAAAACTGCCGGCTTATCGCTGTTGAGTATTACTCTGGTTTTTGAAACCCTGCGACAGATTTCGCTACAGCATTTCTGGAGTTGCAGACTTGACCGTCGCTGTAACACGCTGCAGCGTTCACACAGCGGGAACGGCTAGTAAGGTTGTCAAACTGGACTTCAACCGACAGGTCTGACGATCTGGTCCGCGCATCTATTTCTACTTCCCCGCGGGTCTCATCAAGTCTATCTAGGGCTTTGATCAGCGCATGTCGCGACATCTTTCAGATCGGTTTCATTAGCTTTTAACACCTCGAGTCACAGTTGGGTACTGCAGAATCTACATACGTCAGCTAGTGCAGTTTGAAGACCGACAAAGGCGCTACTGCGTGGCTTTCAGCAGCCAAGTTTCTATGCAGAGTCCTTCAAGAAGTCGGCACTGTGACACTTTTCAGAAGAGCTTGAGCCTGAGCGCGAGCGCATACATTGATTCTTTTACTGGAATATTGTAGCCTGCCAGGCAAGATGTCAATCAAGTATGTGGAGTGACCCCAGGTTCAGCCGCCATGTCTACATTATTAGGCATATAGTACCTGCATTTTTCTTCTGGATTCTTGAGGTTTCATGTTGCACACGAGGCGCGTTCATTTGTCTCGTAGCTAAGCACCATCTTACATTTGTCACGGTGGGGCTTACTTGCTGTCACAACTATTCTCCTTTCACATTGATTGCCTCGAAAACGCATTGGGACATCTCTGACGTTGGACTGTATAGCTGGGTGATGCTCCATGACCGTGAAGGCTTCGTCAAACTTCCAAATGAGCAGTTGATATACACCTCTCCACCTCGCACGAGTCTCTCTCTGCAACCGCTCAGTTCGTACACAGGCAGTGATTCGATATCCCTGCAGAGCGGTACCGGCCAGATCTATCTTACCAATCAGCGGGTCAGAACGACTCTTTTCCCTCATCTTCTCCTAGAAAGTCTGCTGACATTAACGGTAGGTTGTCTATATCCCCTCTCAGAAGTCAAAAGACTTTCAATCATTCTCGGCTCCGCTTCTCAACATACATGACTCGCACGTCACTGCACCATTTTTCGGTCCAAACTTGTGGATATCCCTTGTTCAACCTGTGTCTGGAGGAGGAATTCCCCCGTCATTGCCAGCCGTTCAGCTGAAGGTAATCTTTAAAGAGGGAGGCGCGTTTGACTTTCACAATAACTTTGAGAGACTTAAGGAGCGTATGCAGCAGGCACTTGAGCTCACACAAGAAAGCGGCCGAGCATCGAGAAATGTGGATCTCTCTACAATCCACCTGGAAGAGCTGCCTGCCTACACGGGGCCCCAGAATGATATGACTGGAGTTCACATTCAGGACCAGGGTCTATCTCCAGACTCGTACAATCGCCAGGACAGTGCAGGGACAGAAGCTGAACCTATGGATCCACCGCCAGGCTACGAAGAAGTTCAGCAACAAAGTGTTGCCAACGAACTCGAAGAAAGGTTACGCCGTGCCAGTTGACGCCGGGTGGGAGGCGATCCTGATCATTCTAAACATTGAGTATCTTGCTTACACATTCTCCGTCTTCATGAGTGTCTCCTTTCCCTCATCTTTCTCATCAAAGGTTCTTCCATTACATCATGAGACATCTTCAGATTTAATGTACAATAATTGGGCGAATTAAGATTCATAGCGGTAATAGGATGTTGAACACGCTATTGCACTACTATTCCTATTACGCTAGGATGGTCGTCTAAAAGCAGGCTCGAGTCCGAGATAATATTCGCCGAGAAATCATTCCTCTATAAATGATCCACTGAGCCGTACAGGTAGTGTGAGCTGTAAAGAGGTAGAGAAATGAAGAATGAGTAGACCATTTAGAAACTTCCAAACAACTACAGGTACAGAGGGCACCTGCATCCCTACCGAAGCGTCGGCCAATCACGTGTGCGATAATTCAACCTCCCCCGGCGCCGGGGTGTTCCGATTTTCCTGGACGGTCGGAGCCAAAGCTTCGTAAAACCACCATCCTCATCAAATCTCGCTCGCTGCTGCCACTGCACCCCCACACTCTCGACTCCAGACCCTCCATTCTCGTCAATTGATACTTCCACACGGTCAGGATGGGTCTCGCCGACTTTTTCTCCGATATGATCTCCTCCCTGAGCTTCCCCGAGGCTCAGGCTGAGGCTCCCGCCGAGATCGTCGAGCAGAGCAGCCAGGAGGCTGAATCCGAGGACAAGCCCGCTGTGAGCGAGGAGAAGACCGAAGAAGAGAGCACCGAGAGCACCGAGAGCACTGAGGAATCTGGTGAGGAGACTCCTGCTGAGGAGGCTTCCGAGGAAAGCCAGGAGGAGCCCGAGGAGGAAGAGGAGCCCGAGGAGGAAGAAGAGGAGGAAGAGGAGGCTGTGGACGTCAAGCCCAAGCTTGAGGAGGGTGAGTCACTCATTGTCGACCCTGGGCTTTTCCTTGGCCCATCTACGACGTTGGTCGATTTGTTGCGTATGCATGGGAGTGTATACACATGTATTCAGATCTCCGGTTGTCCGCCTCATCGTAGGATTGTCTGGACACCGGCGCAAAGACCCATTTCCATTCACTCATTCGGCATTGTCATGTGATACTTACTGACCTTATAATAAACAGATTGCGCCAACAGTCCCCAGTGCGCCCCCTACAAGCACCACTACGACGAGTGCGTTGAGCGCGTAACTCGGCAGGAGGAGGACCCTGACCACAAGGGCCCCAAGGAGGACTGTGTTGAGGAGTGTAAGTAACCCGATTGGATTAGTTGAGATCGGGCTAGCCTCGTTTGCCTTTCAAGATCGAGATTCCCGATTGACTAACACTGGCTTTGCTCGTTAACAGTCTTCCACCTCGCCCACTGCGCGACCCAGTGCGCTGCCCCCAAGCTCTGGAAGGCTCTCAAATAAGCGATTCGCCCTTGGAACGATTCCTGTTGCTCTTTTTCAGCATTCAACGACAAGCGAAACCCACAATGTCACTTTGGCTATCTGATCGATAGAAAGAAGAGTCGGGAGGAGTTGAATAGAAGAACATGATGGCCGGCATGTTGAATGTCAGCCTGCCGATATAGATTCCGGCATCGAATAAGCACGGGGTCTCCTTGACCGGTATGTATGCTGGAAATGGGACGGCCCTATCATTCTGCTGTCGGCCTTGTTATGTTACAGTATGGAGGATGGTAAAAAATGGCATCCTTTGCCTGTATGTACAGATAGCTGGTCTCCGCCTGTTTGAAACTGTGCTTTTCATTTTTCTTTGTTTTAGAATCAATGCTTCCGCTTTGCTTAGACTTGTGGTGCTCTCCCTCTCCGTGGCCTGGTGCTGTAGATTGTTCTTCCCAGTTCCAATGTATATCGAGTACTCAACAGCTGATCTTGACGTAAAATTTCACCTCGACTGATATTTTCAGAAAGGCGTTAAATTTACACATAATCATTATCGACAGATTTCGCCAAAATTTTACAGTCAAAAAGGAGCATTGCATGAAACAAGCACGGAAAGCAGCTGCGGACAACCGAACTAGATCGCTCGAAGCATTCCCTGACCCTGATCCGATATCCAAGAGCTTTTTTTTTTTTTTCCAAATGATCCTCAAGATGAGTATTTGGGCGACAGCTTCGATATGTCAGAAGCAGGATCCAGTCCAGTAATGGCATTCTCACCACCTCTGTCCGCACCCGCACCCGCACCCGCACCCGCACTCGCACTCGCACTCGCACTGGACGCCTCCCGGCCCCGGAAAACAGCATCCTCCAAGGCGACGCCGCGATCGACATCCAAGCGGCGGCGGCGGACATCCCGCCCAAACAGCCCGATGCAGATTGGAAACGGCGCCGCCACGGCCGCCACGACGGCCGAGAAAATCAGGGCATTTCTCATGTTCTGGGGCGGCGAGGCGTTGTCCGAGGCTTTCAGGGCGTCCTGGATGAGGATGAACGCCGCGCCGAGGAGCTGGCCCCCTGTCCAGCAGATGGTGCTTCCGATCTCCGGCGAGAAGGGGTACGTGATCTCCACGAGGAACTCGAGCACGACGGGGAGGAGGCCGAAGGAGGATGCGCCGAGGAGGGCGCAGACGACGTATGCCGGGGCGATGCCTGCGGGACTGGACGGGGCGAAGATGAGGGCGATGTAGCAGATGGCAACGATGGGGACCAGGATCCGGATGGTACCGAGGTAGTGCTTGAAGCGGTCGGTGATGGGGGAGATGATGGCGGAGCTGATGAGGCCGACGATGATGAGGATGCCGCCTGCGATGCCGGCGTCGGTTTCGGTGAAGCCGTATGGTTCGAGAATCTGGTTCAGGAGGGAGGAGACGCTGTTGAAGAAGCCCACGTAGACGGAGAAGGGGACAAGGATGAGCCAGAACTCGAGGGTTTCGAGGAGCTGAAGGAGCGCCGGACGGAGTGGTGTTTTACTACTCGCTGATGAAGCACTTGGGGGCGTTGGGGGTGCGGCTGGAATGAAGAACGATGGGATTGATGCGACGGTTGCCTGTCATGTCATGGGTTGCCATCAGTATTTGCTGCTGATATGGTTTGTTGCACCATGACTGCCACTGCGTGACATTTCGCTCGTGCTGATGGGGTCGACGGTGCACCTACAATGATCGATATGTACAGCACCATATCTGGAACCTGCTCAGGGGTTGTCGCCCAGAACGAATCGATCAACTGCCCCAAGGCTGCCCCCAGCGGATTTGCCAAAGTGGCAACGGCTGTTGCGCTAATGCGCCCTCGATCGGAGAACCAAAGATCGCTGTACCTTGTCGGCGCACTCAAGCAGAACGGTTGCGCGAGACCGATGAGGATCTGTCCAAACATGGCCACACCAAAGATGCCTCCACGGGCTTTCGTTCCGGCATATCGGATCCAATTGCCCACGAGCAGGAGTGCGGATGTAGCGATGATGGCAGGTTTGGGACCGCCTTTGTTAAGAGTGAGGATGACAACTGGACTGGCGACGCAAAAGGCAAAAAGATAGCCAGTGCTCATCCAATTGATGGCGCTTTCCGAGACACCAAAATGCTGCGATGCGGTAGTGGATATAGAAGAAAAGGTGAGCCACTGAGTTTCTCGAACATGCAAAGATTAGCCAAATTCGGGTTCTGCGTCTGTTCTGAGAAAAGCGCACTTACGTCCCAGCTGACGACAATATTCAGCAAAACTAGTTGAGCCAGCCCCCAGAATCGTCGTCTATACACTTTGTACACAGTCCCCGTAGGAAACGGGTCCAGTGATACAATACCATCTTGGGAATCGACCAAGTCTGCGGAGTGACTTGCGGTCATTTTGTATACTTGCGACACGGACAGGTCGACTGTGAGACCATGACTCCAGACGGCAGGGGATGCGGCAGATGATATCTATTGATGCAATGAGGGGATGAGCGAGCCCAAGCTAGACGATGATGATTGTGACGGACGAGTTGTCGCTGGTCGTCCACATGCTAGTTAATATCAGTTAGTTGCTTTAGTTCGTCGACATCCCAGTCAGTGGTGCACCCCGACGTTCTTTATTAGAGAGTCTTCACATTTTCTCCACTAAGCAGATAATCCTTTGGTGGGTGTTTTGGTCCCTCCCGAGGTTCCTAACTTTAGTACGTAGTTACATTTAGACTAGATAGCGAATATGACTCCGAGTCTTAAGATAGACTAGATAAAGTGATCATGAGGGAGCATGGGATCGACTGTGGGGTAGATACGGAGTAGATATTCGTGGATTGTAACCCTCCGCTTGCAATCATACTGCCAATCAGTTTAGTTGGTAGCATAGTAGCACTGTTTCATCTAATTTCTGATAGTTCTCAATGATTAGAAGTCTGATTGATCCCTCGTCTAGGGAGAATATATTCTGGTGCTGGCTAGATGATATCTACATGAACATTGTTTTTTGTGTACGGAGTATCTTGGTCCTCTTTCCCAAAATTCCCATCCCCACATCGCGCGGCCATAGAAGATCCAAAGGATTCTTAGTAAAACAGTCAACTGACAATAGACAAATTCCAGTTAATATTGCAAGAGCACATCCTGCACCCATCAGATAAAAGACTTGCTTCAGTCTGGTCAATTTGTGACACTAATTCTGTGTTCATACCTCCAGATGTATTCAGAGTACACCGTGCCTGATTGGGATCACTTCATGACACAACACCATCATCTGGGGATTCTGATTGTGCGAAAGACCTAATTCTTTAAAACTCAGACAGCCATATACACAATTCCACTGATCATTGATGATTGATATCAAATCTTGTTGATCTGACTCTTCTTAGAATAAACAAGACTCCTGCACCTAAGCACAAGCTGTACAAATCTCAAGAAAAGATCTATTAGATAGATACCTCATACCTTCAGTTAAGTCTGGATCTCAGGGGGAACATCCGGAGTTGAACCAAAGGTTGGTTAACTACTCCGTATGTTTTCATGATATCACAGTATCAAGTGAATATTACTATCAAAAGGAGATGGATCACATAAATATCATCTCATACCTTCCACAGGTCTAATTTGATTCAGAATGCGTGAGGGCTTTGCTGATTCTATTCCTTTGGTACCTAAGTACATTACAAAGTAGCTGAGATGCAGAAAAAACAACAAAGTACATGTATCTAGTCACTACCAGTCATATCTCCTCCTAGATCCTAGACAGTTCATGCAACCATTATTATATTCTAAGATCATACCAAAAGTTTCGTGATGAGTGATGTTCTTGTGAATGTTGATCCATCACATTGTGGTCTGTTGGCTTGTCCTTCAAGCCTCCCCATCCTCTTCTTCTAGTTTAGAATTTAGACTCTTGCTGATCTTCTTCACCCTTTAATTCTCCCAAAGTCATTCTTTCTCTCACCTTAGCCACTCCAATATTCTCTAAATAACTTGCCATTACTCTGTTTCATCTCTTCCCACCTAAATCGCCATCCATTGACCTGGTTGACGTGGAAGTAGCCTGCTCTATGATAATGAGTCCTGTTTGGTGACGGCTCGTCCCTGAGACAATTCTCCACAGCAATCCATTGCCGCATTCCTTCGCGCCTTTCGTCGAGATATCTCGTCTCCAGAATTCAAGATGAACGATCACGATCGCTTTAGCCAGTCATCCTATGGCGACCCGAGATACCTATCGTCCGCATCTTACGAGGCCCCTCCGGCGGCGCCTCCAGCCAAGGTTCTCATGGACGGCTACCGTGAGGCCTTGGAGCCCCAATATGCGGAGAAATTGCGATACGATCCAGTGCGTTGAACCCTCGCTCGGTTTCTCTCTCATCTTGAACCATGCTTTTAACACAACTATCCTCATAGCTCAATCCGACCCAGCCACGAAGCCCAGCTTTGCTGAACGCCAACGATCCCGTCGCCATGTACCTACTCACTGAAACCGCCATGGGGGACAGCATGAATTATGAGATACTGTCTTTGGAGGAGGTTGAGGCTTTGAAGAAAGAGTACTCCTTTCTGTCCGGTCGCCTAAACGCAACCAAGCGGAAATTAGCCCTGGAAATGAAACTGCGCGACGCGGCTCTGTCGCTCAGCAGACTATACAACTCAACAAGCCGCAGGGCCAGCGAAGAATACCATGCAGGAATTTCGCCAAACTCTCATCGCAGTCACAGAAATGAGTTCGGCGCTACAGGCACTTTGGACAAAACAGACGAGGAACTGGCAGCGAGCACAAGAAAGTGCGAGGAGCTTGCTCACGAAATCTGGAAGTGGGAACGCAAGGCACAGCACGTACGCCAAAGGTTATTGGAACATACAGCGGGTGTTCTACAGATGACACATAAGGGGTTGAAGAAGAACATGAGGAATGTCCCACATACCCCGGAGAGCCTCTCCAGCCACAACACCCGCGGCAGTGTCGACGACTTTGACGACAGAAGCTTGTACAAAACGTCAGACAATCTTGATGGGCCAGCTGCTTCCGGTAGCCAAGAGATGATTGGATTTGAAGTTATTGGGGATACCGAGAGAAGGCTGGAAGCTTTGAGTGAGAGGCTGCGCGACATGGTTTTAAAGCTGCAACCCGGGAGCGACTATGATTCGATTCCCCGAACTTCGGATGGTACGACATCGATCAATCCCACAGCGACAGTCGAAGCGCTCCTCGCTTATATTGAGCGTGGTCTGAATATAATCGCTGCAAAACCAGCTGAGACGCCGCGTGCCTTGGAGTTGGATCACGGTACGGAGAACCATTTAATGAAAATCAACGCTCGACTACACCACATTGTGGGGCAATCTGGATTGTCTCGCTCACAATCACTCTCTCCTCCCCCGGAATCGTCAGGGAATGGGCTACAAGCACATTTCGAGTACCTGAATCTTGGTATTGATGACCTTCACAGCCAGATTGAGAAACTCCTTGAACAGAAGAGCATCTTAACCACTCAAATTCAGCAACAGCGGGAATTGAATTCCAAATCGGATGCCGAACGAGATGCACACATAGCCGATCTGGTTGAGCAAATCGCTCATATCCGCAAAGACCTCGAGCTGTCTGAGCAGGAGGGTCAGAGAGCAAAGGACGAACTCGACCTGGCAATCAAGCAACTCGAAGCTCTGCGTCAGGAACTCAACGACCTTCAACAGAACAAGAGCGTTGCCGAAGATCACGCGAGCGCTTTGGCCTCCGAAAAGGAAGCCCGAGCGCACGCAGAGGCGGAAATGTCACGCCTACAGGCTGTCATGCAGGAGCTTCAGCAGGAGAGGGATGCTCAGGCGGAAGCTCATGAAGCCCGTGTGCGGGCTGAACACGAGGTCGCTCGTCTGGAATCTCATCTCGAACAGCTTCGATCCGAAAGCGCCTCTCAAACAGAGGAACTCACTGCCGCTCGCTTGAACGCAGATAGTGAGATCACACGTCTGCAGAGCGTGGTTGATCAACTTCATCAGGAGGCAAACGCCAGAGCGGAAGAAGCTGCCGAGGCCCGGGACCGAGCCGAACAACAAGTGCTGCAGCTGGAGGAGACCCTGCAGCAAGTTCGCAACGATGCTGACGCACGGGTCAAGGAAGCCCTAGATTCTCGCGTCGAGGCGGAAGGCGAAGTCTCTCGCCTGGAATCTTCGATACAACAGTTCCGCGCGAATATGGAGTCACAGATCAGAGAAGCATCTGAGGCACGCGCACACGCAGAAGAGAGTGCGACTCGGCTGCAGGCTGAATTGAGTGAGATGGCCAGCGAGGTTTCTCGGCTGCAAGACGCTATGGAAAAGCTTCGCACTGACATGGAGTCCCGCCTTAGAGAAGCAGCCGAGGGACGCACAAACGCAGAACAGAGCGCGAGTCGCCTGCAGGCTGAATTGACAGAAATGGAAGGCGAAGTGGTCAGGGTACAGACAGAACTGACAATGGCCAAAGCGGAGCTCGATGGTGCTTACGGTAGCAGAGCCCAACGAGCAGCAGAGGTGGCCGCCAATCCGGCTATCCAGAAGGAACTTGATGCCTTGAACACTAGAAATCTTGAGCTTGCGGAGGAGCTCGCAGCCCTCAAATCCGGAAAGCCTGGTAGTAGCGATCTGCAGCAGCGAGTGCAGATGCTGGAAAGGGAGCTCCGGGAAACTATTGACGATTATGAAGTGATGACCAAGGCCAGCATCGAGTTCGAGAAAGAGCGTGAGAGGTACGAAGGCATGATTGACGGTCTACGTGACCGCTGCGAGCAATTGGAGACGCAGCTCAATGAGGAGCGAATCAACTGGATGGGTATCAACAATGCAGTGGGACGAGATGGCACGTATGAGACCACTTCTACAATGGTCCTGAAGAATGAATTCAAGAAAATGATGCGTGACACTCGCATCGAGAACATGAAGATCCTCAAGGTCAGTTGCAATTTCGCGGCCTTCCTTTGCTGTTTCTCCGTGCTAACATATCTGTGCAGGCGGAACAAGAAGAACGAAGACGACTGGAGACTCTGGTTCGAAATCTGAAGAAAGAACAAGCAGCAAGCACTGGCAAGTCGAGTCTCAGCCACAGCGTCACGGCTTTATGATCACGATATCCCATAGACTTTTTTTTTTGTTACCCCAGCTTTCATGTCGTCTATTAATCAGTACACTCAATTCTTTCAATGTGCATATTAATACTCTAATTCCCTCCATGTACTATTTCGGAACTGCGCCCATTTGTGTTTATATTTGTCTCCGCACATATGACAACGAAGCTGACAATGTATCATCAATCATCTTGCTCCCTATCGCTTTCCATTTGTGGACGCTGCATCCATATTCCTGCTCCTGCCCTTTGACGAGGAAGACCAACATTGCATACGATGATGCGGAAGGTGCAAAGGGCCATAATGAGGTCAGTTGGCTGAGATTGCATCTCACGCCTTCAATCCTCGCACACTCCTAGTAAATAAGCGTCTTCTGCAGCCTTACTGAGCGTCCGATCATTATTCTTTCGTTCATAATTTCTGTTTGTCATTGAACATGTCACTCCGATGTCGTCCTGTCTCGACCGCGTCTGTATCCTCCGATCAACAGTCGTTTGTTACTGGACGACAGACATATCGTGATAATGTCCGAAACACGAAGACAGGGCTATCTGTGCCATTGACCAGCGATGGAAGCTCCATCTACAATGCTGCGAGAGCGAGTTCTCTCGACGATCGTTATTCATTGACTCGTAGCTCTGATAATCCCGTGGACGAGATCCTAGACAGTGGGATGGCAGCGAATATGGCCATGTTCATTCCTTTAACCCATGAAGCGCATGCTTCCCATGCTCTCTATCTCTCAAAGGAACAGATGATTAAAGGTCCGCGGTGGGACTTGCATCCGTTATCAGACAATTGCGTCCCAGCCACAGCGGGTTGTGACGAGAAGTCTCAACTTGTTTTGTCGAACGTCTCAATGAAAAAGCACTCTTGCGATGAGTCTCGTCATCGTAAAGTGGCCAGTCTCAATGATGTAGACGACGTTCAACGGGTTCCGAAATGGCCGGGACGTAAAGGGTCGCCGGTGCGTCCTGCTATTCCGCAATTCCCTCCACCATATAGATCACCCACACCTCCGGGCCTTCCATCTTTCGGAAGTCCTGAAGCGATGTCCTACTCTACCCAGTTCTTCGTCCGTTCCTTTGTTCGCGAGGGACATATCCAACAGAGAACTCCACCTCCCACAGGTACTCCCACTTCGAGTGGTGTTGGTGTGGCCTCCTATGGGAAAGCCTTGCGCAGGCTCTTCGGACTCTCTTCACCTGCCCCTCCTCGGCCTACTAGACAGCTGATTTCCGTTGCAAGGGCCGAAGATGGTACGGCAGTGCTAGGACGCTTTCCCTATCGGCATAGCGCCCATGGAACGAACTTGGCCAGACGACTAGACGACCATCCATTCCACCGGAGAGCGCTTCCTGCGGCTGATTGCGAGACTGTCGAGGAGGCAAGTGACGCTAGCCGTCCGAATCAATCTGGTACGAGATTTGTGAAGCCCACAAGCTCCGCGCAAGTGGAAGCATCAGTGCCGACTCCGCGTCCCGCTGAAGAGACTCGTCATATCGATTCTTCCAGTGTCATGCCAGCAATACCTAAACCGGCCGTGACTTCTCGACCTCGAAACCCAGGATTTGGTATGGTGTCCCGGGCGAAAAATCTCGGCGCTAGACAAACCAGCATCTCCCAACCACAGCATGGTCGTGCTTCCCTGAGCGGCAATGAGGCCCAGCAACAGAGTTCTGATCAAATTGGTGGCCCTCGTCGATCCCTCGACGTGAGTGAGACAGTCCACGGGTCAGCGGACCCTTGGCTGCAATTTCTACAGAACAGGACGCTTTCTCTCTGCTGTTGCCTCCCAGGCATCGGTGAACAGGACGACCCCATCTATTCGCAATCTTCGAACGATACGTACACCACTGCGAGAAGCTGACTTGGCAATGGGATTATCTGTAGAGTTTAGTACTGTTTGACGAGGGAGCTTCTACAGAACCGAGCACGCACAATCTGGCAATCACGCAGCTCAATCCTTCTCTGGACGCTCTGGTTGACATTGTTACATCACTATAGAACAGGGAGAGCCTTGTGCCAATCAACCACATGAGACCCTTTTACTTATCATAAATTGTACTTGGCTCCGTTTGGTGTTGCAGTACGAACAAGCACCGAGCCTTTTTGTAACTGTATCATTATTTCTTTCATTATGATTGGAAAGAGAACCAATTAAGACATCCAAATGGCTAAGTCATATACCAGACAACTCCGTTGCTCACATGCAAATATGCTTGGACATAGGAAAAGAAGGAACAATATGCGTGTGCTGTGGTGGGAAGAATATGGAAACCTGTAAGGAAAGGCTTGGAAGGAAAGGCGATGAACCCGAGATGCCGAGCTCCCAAGAAAAAAGGAAAAAAAGACCAAATGTGCCACGAGTAGAAGATTACATGCAAAGGAGGATCGCGCATAGAGAAGAATGACTGGCAGAGATGCACAGAAAGGGAAGTGGTCAAGCTAATAAGGATAGAGAAAGACCTCTGTGACGGGAAAAGGCCTGGGAGAAAGTGCTCTCGAGTCGGGAACGAGGGTTGGTATTACATTACAGACCGGTAAAGAATTGGCACGCTTCATTGAGTTCTTCGTCATCGCCCACAAAGTCCCATCCCACGATCCTGGGATCCTGGCTGGCGCAGATGATCTTGCGAGCATCGAATTGGAGTTTGAAGATTCTCGATGTAGGGTGGCCGCCTTGCGGGTTCAGAGCTCGGTTCAGGCGGACATGGTGGTGGTGGTGGTGGGGCGGTACAGGGTTCGGCATGGGCTGCGCGTTCTGCATGTGGTGTTGGGCCTGGAGCATCAAGGCCGGATTCGCAGCGTGCCCCAGTTGAGGGTTGGAGTTGCCTGGGTTCCAGGCAGCTTCTTGTTGACCAGGCGCAGGGGGATTGATAGGAGTCTGCTGATGAATTTGGTTGATGGGGGGAAGATGCTGCGTGAAAGGTGCTTGTCCAGGGGGAGGCACGGCAGCTTGCCCCTGGGGCAAAGGCGGACCCTGATTCTGCGGGATTCGCGGGGGCAGAACCGTTGTCCTTGAAGAGGACGGGTGCGCCTGTGAAGCGTTGACGACAGCGTCGGCCTGCCGTAATCGCTGGCTTATGATCCATCGGCCCTCTTTGTCCTTTTTCCAGATGATGATGGATTCGTCGTATGACCCCGAGACAATCCGACCCCATTGACTGCCACCGCCGCCTGGAGGTATTTTGGCACCAAGGGCCTTGATGTCCCGAGGGTTCCGCGAGCCCGCAGTGTTTTGATGATAGCCGGCGCGTCTGAGGGCACTTGGGCCTAAGTCCACCCCTTCGCCGGAGCGTTGAGCGTCCCAAAACTCATTCTCGATTGCTAGAGCTTCAAGTCTCATGGCTTCCTCGGCGCCCGGTGGATCACCGAAGCCAGCCTGGACGGTTCTTACCAGATTGGCATGTCCGTGTAAACAAGCGACCTCTGCGCCAGAGGCATGATCGAAAATTCGGACTGTATCGTCGTTGCTTCCACTGATAATACGTCGGTTGTCGAATTGCACGCACGCAATGCCTTTTTCATGCCCCGGGAGAGTCTTCTTGCATGCACCACTGTGGATGTCCCAAATCTTGATGAGTCGGTCTCCCGACGCAGAAACTATTTCATCCTCGTTCATCTGTATCGCGTTAACGGCCGCCCCGTGTCCATCCAGAGTCATCAAAAGAGAGTAAGGCTTCAAGCTTCTGATGTGGTTTTTGGCAAGCTCTGCTTCCAAAATAGGTGATGGAATCTCGCTCGTGTCAATAATATAGGACGGATATGTAACTCCGAGTCCTTGACAAACGCTGGGATAATCTTTGTCTAGTGGTGTAAGTTCTCGTCGATTCCAGATCTTGATGAGTTTATCTTTAGAGCACGTAACAAGATAACGCTCGTCGAACCTGAGGTTCAAGACGGAGTCATCGTGAGCCGACCTGATTTCGTGTATTTTCTCACCGGTGGAGAATCGCCAAATTACGACATTTTTGTCGCTACTCCCCGAGATTATGACATCTTCCGACGGCCGCGGGTCGAACTGTAGGCATAGCACCGACTTTGTGTGACCGACAAGGGGACGATACCAAAGTCTCTTGGTCTCCAAATCCCACACGCGAACAGTCCTATCTCGGCTACCGCTGACGAGCCACCTCCCTGTAAACTGAATTGCGTACACACACTCCAGATGAGCCTCTTCTGGGTGGGCCGGATGCGGTAGTTGGAAGTTAGTGAATCGGCCTTTCGCCCAGTTCTCTTCCAAGCGTCTTCGTTGTTTGTAGAGGTGTGGCCAGTTAATTCGCATGGCGCCATTAGGCATTCGAATCATGATCTGCGACTTTGGGGAAGCGGACAGCGGCTGACCAATCGATCTGGGTAAAGCGACAGCTTGGGAATCACGTCTGTTACTGGGAGACAGCGGCGAAGATCTGGAGGCCGTCGACACAGCACGGTCGGTCACAACATCACTCATCTGGTGGTCTCCCTCATTATCCGCTTCCACGGGCGCTCCGAGGTCCCGTGCTGGCGCGTCATCCGATACTGTTTCTGTAGCACGCAAGTCCAGCCAACCCTGAGGGACTCTTTTCTTGTTCTTCGGCTCTCCAGCATCCGGATCCGCACGTCTCGTCCGGGACTTGCGACTCTGCGGCGACGACAGCGCAGAGTGCTCCTGTTCGAATGTGCGGATTGCGTCGATGTCGACGCGCCAGCCTTCGCTGATGTATAGGTCTCTCCATAGTCGAGTGTCACAGATGCGGCTCCGCCAAGCACGGGACGCTAACGAGGCCGTCAAAAGAGTCTTGGGGTCAAGATAGGAGAAGATCTCGGATGTGATTTCGGGCGGCAGCTTGAGGACAGGGTCCATGTGCAACAGAGGGGCGAGTCGATCGACGACAGTGGCAATGGTAGAGGTCCGTAGGGTCCGGAGCAAGTTATAAGCAAATTCTGCACAGCGAAGAAGATTTTCTATCAGTCTCCATGGCCACAGTAAGAGCTCCCACAGGACGGGTGCCCAGTTCTGGCCGCAAGCCTAACTCACCAGCTTTGTCCGCTTCTCGGAGCGCAAGGAGCCAATCCGGAAGGGACATGGCATCGCCTGATGACGGTTTCAAGCAATCATTGTCCGACTGACTTTTTGTCTCGTCAGCATAACCCTCATCAAGCTTGAAGCCTGCCGGAGACAATGATGGGGCGGCGAAGTCGGAGGAGCAACTGGGGTCCTGGAGCCGCATGAGACGAGGAATTGCAGCTTCCGCCGCAGCGGGCTCTTGCTCCATGAGAAAAAAAAAAAAAATGCTTCGTCAGCTTGTATAGTCGTGTTGTCGGATTATCGTCTCTATAAAGTATCTTCGTTGTTCAGTATGAGCTTGGTTGACTTGGAATAGGATATGGTCGAGTCGGCCACTGTCCGTCAACAGGCCCGTTGCTCTGTATGATAAAGCTAGGATGTTTCCGTTGATCATACAATCGTGATAATCGATCAGAACAGTGGATCTTGCCAATCAAACCTGAATTTGAGGATTGATAGAATTATCTTCAATGGATAGGACCTTTGCAGTATCTGTGTGATGGCGGCCAGATGACTTGGCCAGAGGGGAAGTTGTTTGTGTCGATTATGTCAAGCTGAGAGCGGTATATCCTGTCAGAATGCATGCATTTACATATCTCATCCTACGATTCGAAGGTTGAATGTTCAAGATCGCAGTCTATAATCTAGTTTCTTGGGATTCTATCTGAGAAATAGTTATTGATCTTCTGCCTCTTTTTTCGTTTGATTTCTCTGGTAGGATTTAGACCGTTCATCCTACAGCAAAAAAAAAAGACCATGTTGGAGACCCAGGAGGTGCTGTCTGTAAGTAAGGGAACAATACAGCAATAGCATGGATAATGCTGCGCTACACCGTATAGAGAGCTGTGACTGAACAGTATGAATCACTAACTAATTGAAGACCGTTCATTGAAGAGAACATTTTCTTTCCTTACTTTCAAAGAAAACATCAAGTCATCGGGGATAGCTAGAAAGGATGTAAGTGGGAGGAAGTCCCGTGCGGCATTTCTGGTATCAGATAGATAGATACAGCAGCAAGGACTCCCACCCTCCTTGACTTTTGAGGTCAAGAGATCAAATCTCATCAAGGCTGATTACTATCTAGATACTATTTAGGTACCAATGCTATGAACTTGCTTGAAACCGGAAGTAGCATATGTACCATCCAATTGCCCAGTATCTCTCTCTCTCTCTACTCCATAAAGTCGACAGAGTTAAGAGCCGAAACACTGACTGATTGAGGTATCCACTTCCCATGTCCGCCGTCCAATCGAGTGATCAATATCAGGATCTATTAGGTTTGATAAAGGCTCCATTGTTATTTATGTGTTTTGGATTTTGATGCTCTGAATCTCCTGTCGCTCGGGAGTATTGGTAGATAGATAGATAGTACGGAATAGTAGTATATAACACTTGCAGGTCAACATGAAGTAAGGTAGTGTCGCCTTGACTGCCGAGGAGTTGATAAAAGAGAGCAGAAGGACACTTACTGTTGAGCTATGGAGGACAATGCCAATATAAGTTGATCAGATGTTGTCAAGTTTGAGCGTAGGTACTGTAGATAAGTATGCCTCATTAGATAGTGGAAGAGATTCTGCCTAAGGCTATGATCCCTACCTCCTATGCAGTTCATACATTTACAGTATCTGCACTATACCTAAGGTAGGTGATTTGTAGGAGAATCATTATGCTTCTTTCTTGTCACTGATTATAAGCATTGAATGACCTCTTCCTCCTCCAGAACTATTATTTCTCTTCCCTTCCTCTGTGTTCTTCTTATCGCGAATTAACAAGAAAATTCTTAAGACTCTGGAGCTTTCTTGGTTAACCTTGATACTATTCACAGTCTGCCCCTCTCTACCTCTCCACAGCTGCTTTACTACTACTAGATATACACAGAACTAACACGCGCTACCCAGAATCAGTCACTAAGCAACTCATTGGCCTGGACTCTCGCGAGATCTGTCTCTGGCGCTCTGTTACTCATCTTTCTTCTCCTTCTCTCCCCCCTCTTACCTGTTCTCTCTTCAAAGAGTCTGCTCTCCTTGTTGTCTTCCTTTCTAGCATATTTTCATCCTGATTTCTGGTGCAGTGGCAGTGGTACAAGCTCAGATATCCCATCCCCTCCCCCTCCCTTTTGCCGTTCGTTGGAACGCCTCCTCAGTCCTTGGGACCTCTTGAGAACGCCTGCAGCGGCAAACCCCACACCCACCCTTTTTTTTAATTTCTCAGTACAGATCCCTCCTGAGAATCCCCAATAATACTGATACTTGGAGCTGTTGGCAGCAAGGGTCGGGGAATTTGCCAAAATAAATCAAGGAATACAAGAAAGCACAAGGGAAAAAGAAAACGGTGTCCTGCAATTCTGTGCTTTGGCAACGACGCGAGTATATTAATACTTGCTTGGTCGCATTGTGACATCTCCCAAAGAGTTGGGGCGCGGGAAAGCTTCGTCGTTTGGCTCGACCAAAGGGATAGTTATTAGTTAACTATCTATCTACCTGCTACCTATCTCCACTCCCCTTCCTCACGAGTCACAACCTATCTACTACCCGCTCGCACCCATACGTCCCGCATCAGTCCACCGGCTCGAAACCCGTGATCCATGCTCGACATTCTTCCTGTTGACCGACGATTTGCATCTTTTTGGATCTCCTTACTCTGGTCTGCTGCGCGGATCTGATTCGATTTACACTTTGGTTTTCGGTGCCACCACGACTTCGAGTGGTGGGCAGCAGCTGAGATGATGGAGCCCGTGGTATCGAATGGCGGTCCTGTCGCCGAGGACAATATCATCAACCGTCGCGGTGGTGAATCGATCTATCAGAGTTGTGTAAACCTCAAAAGGCGACTGGCAGAGGTACCGAACTTCGAACCCCACTTGCAAGAGATGGAGGAAGAGGACGAGAAGCTGGGCAACACCGACCCTGTCGCATCGCTTTGGAATTGCCTCCGGAACGGATACCCCTTGTTGACCATCTACAACGCCTCTGACCCCCCGGAGCTCCTCGAGATCGATCCCTCCAAGGTTCCCGAGGCGAAACGTCCCAAAGCCGCCACCTTCAAGTTCCTACAGGCTTCGTTGCAGGAGCTGGCCTTTCCCCAGCAGGACTGCTTTTTGATCACCGATCTGTATGGCGACAGCACGACTGGCTTTATCAAGGTGATCAAGATGGTGAATCGCGTTTTGGATATACTGGAGATGCAGGGCCAGTTGAAGCGGTCTTTGGATTCCACAACTTCGGCTCCAGCGAAAGGAGCGGTGAAGCTCACCAGGAGGGAGTTCATTCTCAAGGAGCTACTGGAAACAGAACGCGACTATGTCCATCACCTACAGAATCTGCAGGCTCTCAAGAAGGAGCTGGAGGAGACAGGGGCTCTGACTGGAGATGCTAGCCACCAGATTTTTCTCAACTTGAACAATCTCCTTGATTTCGCGCAACGTTTTCTTATTCGGATGGAGCAGCATTACGCCCTGCCTGAGGATCGGCAAAATTGGGGTGAGCTTTTCATTCAGCACGAGGAGGCTTTTCGACAGTATGAGCCATTCATCTCGAATCAGATGCGCTGTGATGAAGCCTGTCTCAAAGAGTGGGACAAGATCCGGGCAGCGCCGCGCCTGCTCGACCTTCAGCAGATGGTTGCCCAGCCGGCAACCCTGAACAGTTTCTTCGTCAAGCCTTTTCAGCGCATGACAAAGTACCCCCTGATGCTTATGGTGCGTTGACTTCTGCCCTGATGTGTGCATCCTCATTAACCCCCGGTCACAGGAACTGCGCAAACAAACCGAGGACCCGGATCTCCAGGCTGATATCACGAAAGCTATTGACACCATCCAGTCTGTTCTCGACTCCGCAAACGACGCAATCGACAAGGAGCACCTGGCGTCGGCCTTTATCGATCTAGATGAACGAGTAGACGACTGGAAGGCTCTGAAAATTGACTCGTTCGGTGAATTGCTCCGCTTCGGCACATTCACTGTCTTGAAAGGCGACACCGGCAAGGATTCGGAGAGAGAGGTTTGTACCATTCTTGCCAATCATGTTATTTTGACAAGCAAGCAATCAATATGCTAACCAACCTGGGTCTCTCCCTTTGCTACCGATCTAGTATCACATCTATCTCTTCGAACGGATATTACTCTGCTGCAAGGATATCAATCCAAACAAGCAGAAAACGAAGTTGATGGTGAGCAAGGATAAACCGGCCGCAACTATCAAGGGCAAGCCACGTCTCCAGCTGAAAGGTCGCATCTACATGGCCAATGTGACGGATATCGTGTGCCTCCAAAAGCCCGGTATGAGCATTCTCACCACCCTTGGAAATCTACCCATCACAATTCTAACAGGGAATCTTTCCCCACAGGATCTTATCGGATTCAAATCTTTTGGAAGGGCGATCCTGGCGTTGTGGACAATTTCGTCATTCGCTATCAGAATGAGGACGTAATGCGCAAATGGTACAAGGATATTGATACGCAGCGAGCGATCCAAGCGGAGCAACGCAGCGCCCGAAACACCGGTACCTCCGAAACGGAATTCATGTACATGAAGGGCATGGCGAACATACCGAATCCTTATCAGCAAGAGTACGACGCTGAAGAGCAGGCACACAAGGAGGCAGCTTTCTTCTCCGAATTCCCAATGAGCCGCAATGCGTCCAGCACGAGTCTTCGAACCCGGTCCGCGACAGGAGGAAGCGGGAGCTCTGGACCTCCGCTGTCGTCCGCCCGGCAACCTCGCTTCCCTCCCGACCCCAATCTGTCCGTACACACACAGTTCACGACCGGCAGCATGTCACCCGCAGAGAGGAATATGAACTCGTACTTCTCCCCTGTCGCCGAGACACCGTCGACCAGATCAAGTTCCCAGTCCACTGGCTACTCGTATGGGCGCCAGGGCACACCGTCGAACAATTGGAATGAGGAGCCTAATCGCTACACCGCTCCTGCACTGTCTCGTGGCGTATCCAGAGATGGTAGCAACTTCTTCAACAACACGCCCAACGGACGGGGTACTCGACCTTCCCTACCGCCTATGGCAGGCCAGGCCAATGCGAACGGCATGGCACAAAGAATGCGTTCCGCTAGCAGCCCGGACATTCATCATCACAACTCCGAATCGCGTCGGTATATGGGAGCCCACACGATGCAGACCGTGGACAACGTTCCGGTACCACCCATTCCTGCCCATATGGCCAGTATGAAAGCGCCAGTGAACAGAAGCCAGA